AACTCCACTACTCTCCTCGGCGCTGGACTCCTCCAGCGCTATGCCTCATCGCCGATGAATAGCGCAGTTGCAGTCCCAAAATAGCGCAACCTGTAGTCTCCTCATAGCGCAGCAAGTGAAGTCCTGAACCAGCGTAACGCTGGATTTCCCCTGGTACCTTCTGTCCACAACTGGGCGTTGACCCAGCTTAAGTAGTGCTGGGTCGGACCCAGTGAGTCCACGGCCTGCGTTCTGGACCGTGCAGATCGAAACTCCGATCCACGGTCCAAATCGCAGGCTTCGAAAACTGGTTCAGTCCTTGGCCTAAAACGGCCTGCCTGGGTCCCTACCGGACGTGCAGGCCCTGTCCAGGATTCAATTTCTTGGTACCTGGCTTCAAACCGGTCCTGTGCGGACGTACCCAGCCTCAACGTCAGCCTGGGTCCGAACAGGTCAAAATCTGTTCGAAAACAAAAGAAAAGGTCCAAACGTTTTTAGGAGCTCAGCCTCTGGGCCTGAATCTGGCCCTGGTCCTAAAACGTGTACCTGGCCACAAAACGGACAACAGTACACCCGTTAGAAAAACAGCAGCAAATAAATAAATAAAAGAATATAAAAATAATCTAAAGCTGGCATTTTTCTGATGCAGGCCCAAGTTAAAATGCCATAGGGCCTTCAGGTTGCGGTGACGCGACCTGGGGGCCCTATTCCAACCTCGGGTCTCGTGAGGGGCCCGTGTGCAGGCTTTCAGCATGTAACACCAGGGCTCAGAAACGTGAAAGCAGGTCAAAGGTCAAGCTCTCTGTCAACGGGCACATCCAAATCTAAAGCAAAGGACATTGTCAAAAGACTTACCTATTCACCAGGAGATGTGCATGTCATGTCTGTTCGGAATAGGGTGTGTCTGTGCGTGCAGTCAGTGCACCTGTTCGTGCAAAGAAGAGTGTCTATTCACACCTTGGGAGTGTCTGTTCAGGCAGTGAGTGTGTCTGTTCGTCTAAAGATGTGCCTRTCCGAAAGTAAGTCAATAGGTGAAGTCCCAGTTCTGGTTTAAGTCAAGGGAACAGTCCAGATCCAGACTTTCCAGTCCAAATCTAGGCCGAAAGGCCTCAGCAGCAGTTGAACTTCATTGGGWCTGTACTGGGACACATGCAATGCAGGGTCTGGGACGAAGGAAAGGCTGAACTGAGCYAAYGYAGACCCAGCGAGGAGAGACCARCACTRTAGAAGCAGCAGCCAGCCTCATTCCTCRCCAGATCTCCACTGGCCATKTCTGCGTGGAAGTGCTGGTGCGCTTGTGCGCTAAGTCAGGAGGAGCAGTGCTGGAGGATGAAGATGCGCTGAGTGAGGGAAGAAGCCTGTACGCTGGAAGTGATGCAGCCATAGTTGCCCAGCGAGTTAGTAWTAGTAGTAGAGGGTTAGTAGTAGACAACTATGAGTAGTATTCAGAGTAGATCCTCACGAGTAAAGAGTGTGTATGCATCGTAGGARGAAGGGACCGAGGCAGAGAGTGTTCATTCAAGGCTTGGCTATGGAAGATACTTACMWGAAYTGRCTGTGAACTGCAGAGGTGGCGCTGATGAGTRGTGACCACATTGATGACTYGGAGACAATCTGCAGRAGTAGCGTTGATGTATTGGGAGTCATGTTGATGAGTTGATGCTGGTTTGGCATTGCGCTGTTGAGCGCTGGACTCAGGGAACTATGRAACTCTTTGTAATCATAATTTTGATAATATAAGCTGTGAAACTCGGTGTTCTTCTCATCTACCTTTGTCTATCGTGTGAGACTACTGATCATTGTGTGCGAGTATGATGCATGACATATACACACTTGCGTGAGATGGTCCCCAGGACCCATGCATGTTTGGATTTGCTGTTTTATGCTATCGTTAAAGTCAGGCCCATCCAATCTAACATTTTCCCATTCAAAGGTGTTCCTTTTTGTCAAGATCGTACAGAGGACTGCACTTCTACCTATGGTGAATAGATTTTGAGAGAAATTATCTGAATTGCTCTCCATTCCCAGGGCCATTCTTCTGTGGTTTCTAGTTGTTCCCATATACGATCCCACCACCTCCAAAGCCAGATAGAGCCTGGGCACTCTAGGAACAAGTGCTCTATTGTTTCTGGTATTTTCCTACTTGGATATGCCGATTGGCAGAGTTTACACCACGGTTCTGCTATGCCCGCCCTTCTCCAATCAAAAGAGAATAACCCCCAACTTAGGGCCAGGCCCCGCGTTCAGGCTTCCCAATCATGAACATACAACGGGTGGGGCCTGCACCTTATTCTCAACCCTCACAAGGTTATTAATGAAACAGCAACAGCAGCAGCCAGGCATGCGTGCACTGTTGATGGTGCAGATGGAAGAAACTTCTATGAAGAAGCACTGAGAGTGTGCAGTGGGGCTTGGGGAGGACTGACAATTCACAAAGGCCAACAAACAATTCACTGGGCAGCAGTGGAGAGGTTTCATCAGACTGATGCTCCCCTAGCAAAAGTGGTAACTTACCCAGCTCATGTGACTGAATAATAGTACACACAATAAACCACCAGTTTCTCAATGTGGAACTTATGTAATGCTCCTTCAAAAAAAAAAAAAAAAAAAAAAAAAAAAAAAAAAACAGTACCTCGACCATATACCGGCCACGAGAAAAAGATAAATCAGAATGGTTTCCACTTGACTGGATTTGGGCGCCCCAGCCCCACGCCCGTTCATCCGAGCTCGTCACGGCTCGTATACGGCCGTGACTTTTGGAGGTACTGGTGGTTTAAGCTGTTGATAAAAGGATCAAGGCCAACGGCCTCGGAAACAACAAACCAAAAGAAAAGTCAAACAATGGCTCCTTTATATGTCCTCCCCACAGGCTATCTCTGGACGTAATTGCGGCCAGATACATACAGGATGGTTCATAAATGCTGTGGCGGAAAGTCCATGTGGGAGTATGCCCTCAGACTTGTTTAGACTCATGGTTAACCCCGCACCCCAAGCACTGGAGAGGTCCAGGCTGGCCAGCCAAACGTGTCAGGTGGCGTGCAGACAGTCAAGATGTCCCGACAAATATCTGGACATCCTCACCCTGACTGTCAGATAGGGGGGCAAGGGTGACATCAAACTTATCCGAATTCTGACGATGACCGTAGATTATGAAAATCCACGCCCAGAAACGAAGAATCACAACGATTG